GCTCTGTGAAATTTTGAAATGTGATGCTTCATGTTGCATGAGTGTTACCACTAGTTGAATGTGGTGTTATTTTTTTGGTTATGAAATTAAATAAGTAGTGTAGTTTAATGCTGCTGCCTCTATAGCTTAGTCGAGAACTATTCTGTATTCGTGCATGCCCCCGTTAAGTCTCATTATTATTTGTCACCAACAGTCAGTTAATATCGTAAGTTGGTATTAGTATTTGATTTTTTGGATAGTAATTTATTCTTCTCATTGCTCTACTTGGCCCTGCTCAAGTGGTTTTCTGATTCGAACAAGTGTTCAGTGACTGTGTTCACATTTTCAATTTCTTTAAATTTAAAAATTCAGTGATTTTCACGACGCTTTTAATAGCCAATTTTAAATGTATTTAGCCAAGAAAGTGTGAATGAGAATGCCTTTATGAATCTGATTTAAAATGTGATAAAAATTCTCCTTAATGGGATGCGTTCATGTCCATCTAAAAACGTGTCTATAGGTTCAGTTAATGAATAAATTATGAAGATTACTGTTGAGCACAAGCAGGTTATACTGTCTTGGGAATTACTTTGTGAAATTTCCTTTCCATGTGTGGCTATGCTTATTTCCGTCTGTTTTGTCTAGTGGTGTTTGTCATTTATGTGCTATGAATTGTTCAGTGCGTAGGCGTTACCGGAGCTTCATGGTATCGTTGTGTAGTCGGATTTTTTCGTTTCGTGTACTGCAGCTGATCAAGTTGCCTAATAAAGAGAGTCATTTGAGAAAGAGCATTCAAAGGGGTTAGTCGCGGAGAATTCGGCTAGTGCCATCAATCATGACACTGCTTTTCATGCAGAAGTAATGGGCGACAGTAGTGAGAGATTGAATCAGTTTGCTGCATTCAACAGACGGCTTTATTTTCCCCATTATTTTTAAATTATATTTTAATGATTTTCCTCTCATGTTTTTCAGTGAGCTCATTAACATTTGCACTGTCCTTCTGTCACTGCTAGGATATCAGCAGTTATTAATCTTACGTCCACCTTCCGTTAACTCTAATGAATCAGTCGATTTGTCTGCATCGTTTAGTTTTAACGTCATCAACTACATTTCCTCCGTAATAACCTCGCATTGAAACCTCTATCATCACTAGAAGTGCTCAGCTCTATTTGAGTCAAAATTTTCCTCTTTCATATTTCACATTGATCGTAATATTGTCTTCATTTAAAAAAATTCTCAAGCCCCTTTGCTTAATGAAGTTGTTCGTTCGATTGTCGTTCATGAACTTCTTCTGTGTTTTCTTGAAGAAATTTGTTGTTTCTCGGCCAGCTGTATTGTATGCAGTGTCTTCATGAGCCTTCATCAAATTATGTTGTCTATTAAGAGTTGATTATAAAAGTTACTTATGTTACTGCAAATAATTGGTAGCGCTCGATACTGATGTGAGTACATTTGGTAAATTATTTTAATATTCAGGCAAAGTTGGTCGCATCAACAAGTATCGATCAGCTGTCGGGACATGCGAAACCACCGTCGGGCGCTTCTAGCCAAGCGGATCCAACTTCTCCATCGAACGAGAAGGCACCACTTGCATAGAGAAATGAACTCTTCTATACATAACATCTTAGCAAGCATTCAGTCGTTTCCAATCCATTTGCTGTTTTTAAATAAGAAAGTTACTTTTCGAATGAATAAGTGAGTGAATGTTTACAAAGTGTGCTGTTTGTCGTAAGATTGACGCAATCTTTTCGCCTCTATCAAATTATGTCGTTCGTGACAAATTTTCACGCTACGTGCTGATAATAGGGTTGAAAATTCGTGACGTTTGGTGGTTCAGTTGAATAAGTGAACGATTGTGCAAAAGAGGAGAGTGAACTGTACTTGAGTGCTTTTCTATTCATGATCAGTGCGTTGTGGTAGGTGGTATATTGAATTAAATGAACTGATGCATATGAGTGAGCATGATTGTGCAGCAGTATTTCTTTATTTCATTTCCGTGTCATCTTCAGTTGTTTGCCGTACTCAGTGAA